AAAATTGAAGGCCAAGAAAAGCTGCACCTGACGTAAGGAAAATATATGATGGAACACCAAATTCATTGGCCACATCTATCATAGATGTACAAAACATATCCAGAACAAACCCAGCAAGAGGAGGCGAGTCAGGGCTTGACTCCGACTGACTCACAAGCTTAAAGACTTCTTCTTTGACATGGGGTATCTGGGCTTCAATCAAAGAAAAGAGAAACTTCCTCGGTTGGTTTGGATCAGGCTCATCTTTAGGCAAGTCAATGAACCGGATACGATTACAGGCTGTACTCACTGAATTTATAAACCTATCAATCTTGGGGTCAAAACGTAGTTTCATGATGAGGAAGGTGATTGAAAACCTCTCATCACGGTCTACAAGAAGCTTTGCTACCTCTACTGTGGATGCGAGGTGGCTTATAACTGGTGTTGGTATGAAGACCAGCTCAGCTTTCTTCATTCTGCGATTGCGCTCCCTTTTTTTTTTCAGTATTTGCTAGAGAATTTCAAGGTGGGATTGCGTGTAAAAAACTGAATTTCATATTCTTTTGAGGGCATTACTTGTGGCTAGAATTAAGCGGACTTGCGATTGGCAATTTATTGTTCAAAAATATATACGTGCAGGACAAGAGTGAGAGTGAGGTCATGGCTTTGCTGTCCTTGTGGACTGCGATTACAATTCGTCAAAAAGACCCCAAAAAATGAATTGCCGTCCCTGTCAGTAATTTAAGTTATAAAAAGACTACGTTTTTTGACCCCTTATTAGCCGTGGCTCAGTTATTATGGGCTGAATATTTTGCCGTCGCTGTCATATTATGGGCTAAATTTTCTATGCTTTTTTTTTTAATTGATGTTAATCGAGATTAAAGTTAGTTTATGAGTAACTTTAAAAACGCATCATCTTAATACCAGTTCAGTACATTTAAAAACAAATTAGGCACTAATGTCAAAATTTAAATAAAGATAAAATGTATATTTTATTTTGACAGTTTTCATAGTATAACAAATTTCATAACAGATGGACAACAACAACAATATTCATCACCGTGAGATTGATCGAGGAATGTAGGACGCGAAGGCTCTTGAAGAAGCTTTGGAAGCCCAAGAGACCGATTTGAGGTTTACAGCATGGGCTCGCATGCTGACTTGATTTTTTCAATGAATTACTTATAATTCATGAAAAAATTATGAATGCGTATTATTTAAATATATTCATTTTTATAACTTAATTAATATATTGGCTTTATGTATTAAAATATTTGAAGCACTTAAAAAAGTATTAATCAAAGATGGACCTAGTAATAAAGTATCTCACATTAATCGATCAAACCATAGATTAATCGATCAAACCATAGCTCAAACTCATGAGCCCACATACTATAGTTATTATTTCGAGTTTGAAACCCTTGTTACCAAAGGATTATTTAAGAATAATTTTATATTTATATTTAATTTTTTTAAAGAAATACAATGATATTTTTCTCTTAAATAATTTATGTTGGATTATAAATGCGACATATAGCACTAGAGAATCAAAGAGTATGAATAATTCTTGGAATAGTGGCGGCACCTAGGTTAACGTGCCACCACAAAATGCCAGAAAAGCTATGGTCAGTCACAGATTCCTCCCCTCTTCTCATTGTCGTCTGTATGACATGCAAAACAACAGGAAACGCCACCACACAGTCGATTCTCTTCTTCTTCGATTTATTTAGATCTGCTTCTCTCTCCTTCGTGGGGTAGCAGATCTGTTGTGGAGCCTTGAGTGGCTCGCAGGGCGACTGGCTGAAGATGGTGTAGAAGGATGAGCGGCATACAAATCCAGGATCGTAGGCGGCGCTGTGCTTGGGTTATTGCTTGAGGAAGAAGGTGGACTGATTTGGGATCTGTGGGCGCCACTGTGCCAGGCTAGTGTCAGTTGGTTATGGTGGTGGTCGCCGGCGGTGTTGAGGCGAAGATTTCATCGGGGAACGCCAGTCTGTGTTTCTGATGTTGCTTCTCTATCACCAGTGGTTGAAGGTTGATGGAAAACTGAGAGAGAAGATGGCCGATGGAGAAGGGAAAGGGAAGATGAGAGTTCTGTCGATGGCTAGGAGAAGGAGAAAGAGGTGATGACAGAGAGAGAGAAAGGAGGGATGGCTGGTTTTGGGTCAGAAAAATCAAACTGTGGAGGGGAGAGTGGCCTGCGGGCAATGATGGGTGAAGGAGAAGAGAAAATGGCCTGCGAGAGGGGGGGTGTGGTGAGTGGTAGGCGAAGAGGAAAGAAAATCAAAAGGGGGGTGGCTGAGTCTTTTGAAAATATGGTTTTGTAGGGTTAAGGTTTTGAAGGTTTTTTTTATCAAAATTTTTTCTCTTTTGTTGCAAAATTACCTATTTTTTATGTTGAAGATTGTTATTTACAGGTAAAATGAAAATTGATTCTTTAATTTTTAATATTTTTTTATTTTTTTGTATTTTTAAAAATAAGTAATATTAATATTGATTTAATGAGAAAAATATATATTTTTTAAATTTAATAATTTTAAAAATAACATGTTAAAAATTAAATGTATTTTTAATATTTTTAAAAATTAAATTTTTTATGAACAAATATTAAAAATACTAAAAATAAGACAAATATATTTAAAAATATATTTTTTTTAAATTTTCATTATTTTTTAAAATTTTATCAAAATAAACAAATCAAAAATTAAAAAATAACTCAAAATTAAGGAGTACAGGTGGCAGCCACTCTTTGTTAAGCATAACCGAAGGCAAGACCTTAGCTGGAAGAGGATTTGCCAAACACGGCATGACCAACTCAGCATCCGAGCCCTTGAACTCAGTAGGGTCAACTTTCTGCTCATCGTGAAGATCCTGGACATAAAATTGAAGGCCAAGAAAAGCTGCACCTGACGTAAAGAAAATATATGATGGAACACCAAATTCAGTGGCCACATCTATCATAGATGTACAAAACATATCAAGAACAAACCCAGCAAGAGGAGGCGAGTCAGGGCTTGACTCCGATTGACTCACAAGCTTAAAGACTTCTTCTTTGACATGGGGTATCTGGGCTTCAATCAAAGAAAAGAGAAACTTCCTGGGTTGGTTTGGATCAGGCTCATCTTTAGGCAAGTCAATGAACCGGATACGATTACAGGCTGTACTCACTGAATTTATAAACCTATCAATCTTTGGGTCAGAACGTAGTTTCATGATGAGGAAGGTGATTGAAAGCCTCTCATCACGGTCCACAAGAAGCTTTGCTACCTCTACTGTGGATACGAGGTGGCTTATACCTGGTGTTGGTATGAAGACCAGCTCAGCTTTCTTCATTCTGCGATTGCGCTCCCTTTTTTTTTTCAGTATTTGCTAGAGAATTTCAAGGTGGGATTGCCTGTAAAAGACTGATTTTCATATCCTTCTTAAGGGCACTACTTGTGGCTATAATTAACCGGACTTGAGATTGGCAAATTATTGTTCAAAAATATATACGTGCAGGACAAGAGTGAGAGTGAGGTCATGGCTTTGCTGTCATTGTGGACTACGATTACAATTCGTCAAAAAGACCCCAAAAAATGAATTGCAGTCCCTGTCAGTAATTTAAGTTATAAAAAGACAATGTTTTTTGACCCCTTATTAGCCGTCGCTCAGTTATTATGGGCTAAATTTTCTATGTTTTTTTTTTAATTGATGTTAATAGAGATTAAAGTTAGTTTGTGAATAACTTTAAAAACACATCATCTTTATACCAGTTCGGTATATTTTAAAAAAAATTAGGCACTAATCTCAAAATTTAAATAAAGAAAAAATGTATATTTTTTCTTGACAGTTTTCATAGTATAACAAATTTCATAACAGGTGGACAACAACAATAATATTCATCACCGTGAGATTGATCAAGGAATGTAGGACGCGAAGGCTTTTGAAGAAGCTTCGGAAGCCTAAGAGACCGATTTGAGGTTCACAGCATGGGCTCGCATGCTGACTTGATTTTTTCAATGAATTACTTATAATTCATGAAAAAATTATGAATGCGTATTATTTAAATATATTCATTTTTATAACTTAATTAATATATTGGCTTTATGTATTAAAATATTTTAAGCACTTAAAAAAGTATTAATCAAACATGGACCTAGTAATAAAGTATCTCACATTAATCGATCAAAGCATAGCTCAAACTCATGAGCCCACATGCTGTAGTACAATCTATAAAATTATTTTGAGTTCGAAACCCTTGTTACCAAAGGGTTATTTAAGAATAATTTTATATTTATATTTAATTTTTTTTAAAGAAATACATTAATATTTTCTTGTTAAAGAATTTATGTTGGATTATAAATGCTACATGTAGCATTAGAGAATCAAAAAGTCACCATCTAATTATTTAATTTAGAATCATTAAAGAATGTATTGGTCTTATTATAAATTTTAAAAATAAAATATTAATTATAATTAGAGAAGATTTTAGTACCCTAGTACACCCTACATGAAATTATCTATATTTTATAGTCCAAAAATAATTTTATTATTTTGATGGTTTCTAATCAGTTTTCTGATTATGAATTAAAATAAAAATTTACTGGTGGTAATAAATGTGCGTGAAATACTTTTTCTTTGATATGGGGATTTGGTTTCCAATTAAAGAAAAAAGAAACTTGTTGGGTTCATGCTCATCTTCAGGCAACGAAAACTTAATGAACCGGATTCGAGTGCCGGTTGCACTCAATGAATCAATGTAGCAACCAGTCTTTGAGCATGATGAGGAAGGTGATTGAAAACATCTCATCACGTTCTACAAGCTGCTTTGCTACCTCTACTGTGGACATAAGGTGGCTTATACCAGGTGCTGGTATGGGGACTAGCTCAGCTTTCTTCATTTCTGCAACTGAGGTCTCTCTGTTTGTTCTTCCTTGGCTTACAACGAGTAGAGAGTTCAAGGAGGAATGCAGAAGACTGATCTTCGCATCCTAGTTAGGCACACTACAAGGGGTTCTTTGTTAAAAATATCATACATGTGTAGCACAAGATTAAAGACTGAGGTCATGGCTTTGATGTCAGCGTTGAACAGCAATCAAGGCTATATTACCATCCGATTTCAATTCTTTTCTAGAATCCATTTTAATCTCCTCTCCAATATTATCAGGTTAATTTAGGTTATTTTAAAAAAGATATATAATTTGTTTATAATTTTTATGTAAAATTAATTGAATTAAAAATTAAGTTTTATTACTATAGCTTTATAATAGAATAACTCGAGGTTAATGAATTAATTTAATATGTTATTAATTTAATATTTTTTTAAAAAAATATTTTTTTAAATTTTTTAATTAAATTATATTTTTTATAATTTATCTATATTATCTTTGTATTATTTAAGTCGATTAGGTCAATGGAGTCAAGTTTTTTTTTGCTAAAAAAATTATTAATAATATTTAAATAATTTTTTTATATTCAACAAAATTTAATATAATCACTGCATAAGATGAACCAATAATTCTGAAGAAATTAAACCTTATTAACAAAAATAATTAAAATAAAAATAACTTTAGTTGTAGCTTTCTTTACACACATATATTTTTCTGTATGATTTGTTTATATATATAATTCTTAGTCAATGTAACAAAACACCAAGTTTATTTTTTATAGGTTTGATTTCTTGTCAAACCTAGCACCTCAGCTGATGCATGTTTCTCAAGGGTGTTGAGCATGAGGAATTTTTGTCATTGTATCTTGAGGATGGCTGTGCGCTTCATTCTTTTCTAGGCCTAAAATGTGACAAAATCCATTACATTCATAGATGTAAATATAATGCTTGAATCTAATAAAATTAATTACATTCATAGATATAAATATAATACTTGAATCTAACCCTACATCTTTATAAATTTTTACATAAATTTTAAAAGAAATTATTTTTTAAATAAATAAACTTCACCGACCCTATTAAATATATTAAAATTTCTTGTGATTTATCATATTTCTATCTGAATAAATTTAATAAAAAATAAATATATAATTATAATATTTTAAGTAAATTAAGTGAAATATAACTCATAATAAAAATTTAATATATAAAAATGAAATAACTCTTTAGCTTTTTTACTACAACAAAAAAAAAAACAAAGATTATAATTTTTCTTACAATTACAATTACTTCGTCAATTGTTCACTCTCTCTCCCCGAGAATTACGTTACATCGCATTTTTAAAAAGTTTAATTTTATTTTTTATTAAAAATAATTTTTTTATATATTTTAAATTGTTTCCATACATTAATTTTAAAAATAACTTTTTTAAATAAAAAATATTATTTTAATATAAATTCTTTTAAAAAATAATTATAATTACATTTTCAAACAAGTTACACTGAACTTTTTTTTCATTATACTAAGCTCTCCTCTTCTTCTTCTTCCTTTTTTTTTTTTTTCTATATTAGCTATAGAATTTCAAGGTGGGGTTGCATGCAAAATACTGATTTTCATAATTTAAAAGCGCTACTTGTGGCTATAATGAAGCGGAATTGAGATTGGCAATATATAGTTCAAAAATATCTACGTGCAGGACAAGAATAAGAGTGAGGTCATGGCTTTGCTGTGATTGTGGTCTGCTTTTACAATTCGTCAAGAAGACCCAAAAAAATGGGACGCTGTCCCGGTCAGAAATTTAAATTTAGATATCTTTTATGAAATTCAAAGTAATATTATGGGCTGAAATTTCTACATATATATATATATTCAAGTTTTTTAATCAAATCACATTTTTTATAGACTGTCTACATTATTTTTTTTACCCTTCTAGCTGATTAGGTAGTCAAGTTTTTTCTTTTACTAGCATTAATAATGCTTAAATATCTTTTTACATTTAAAATTTTTTAACAAAAACATCTTTAATTGTAGTTTTAGAAATGTTTTTTTTAATTTTTTTTATATATAATTCTTAGTTTTTGTGGCAAGACAGCAAGCCTATTCTTTATTCTTTATTTTTTGTGGGCTTGATGTATTGCCAACCCTAGCATCCAGACTTGATGTTTTTAAAGGGTGTTGAGTTTAAGGATTTTTTGTCATTGCACCTCGGGCATGGTGGGGCAATTCATGCTATCCCAGGCCTAACGCATGGCAAAATTCACTACATTCATTAATTCAAATATAATATTAGAATTTAACACCACACCTCTATACATTTTGGCATCAATTTTAAAAGGGATTAAACTTCACCGATATTATTAGGTGCATTAAAGCCTTTTATAGCATGTCACATTTCTATATCTTAACTGAATAAATTTCTTGAAAGACAAGTATGTGGTTGTGGTGTCTTGGGTAGGCTTAATTCATAATTCAAATTTAATATATAAAAGTGAAATGATTTTTTAACCCCAAAAAATATGGTTAAGGAACTATAAATACTTGAAATATATTTATAATAGCATTTTTGAAATATTATCTTTCTTTGTTTGTTCTCATCTTAAAACATCCTGGAATTTTCTTAACGTGATCGAGTCTTTTACTGTCAATCCTTTTCTTCCTGACGGAGTGTTCTGCAGATGGTATCTCATTAGGAAATGGTGGTTTTCTTACAATTACAATTACAATTACAAGTACTTTGTCGATCGTTCACTCTCTCGATCTCTCCCCCTCCACAGCTTGTTTCTCTTGCCGAGAGAGAGCATTGCTTGATTTATTCTCACCTTTCTCTCTCTCTCTCTCTCCACATAGCTTGAATGTGTATTATCTTCATTCGTCAAAGCTTTTCGACTTGTTTATTGAATGTGTATTATCTTCATTCGTCAAAGCTTTTCGACTTGTTTTACTAGTCTCTTTCATCTTCTTTCTCGTACCACTTTAGGATAATATGTTCCATCACACATCTTATTGTTTTATCATAGGTTTGTGTGGTTGGTCGTTCAACATGTTTTTTGTTAAATTAAATATATACATACATACATACATACATATATATATATATATATATATATATATTGCTTTTAAGTTGTTTTATTGCACTAGTATTGAAAATAGTTTTTAAAAATAAAATAAATATTATTTTAATATAATTATGAACAAAAAATATTTTAAAAAATAATTACTACCGTTTTCTCAAACACCTTCTTTATATCATCAACAACCACAATTTTATTATCATTTATAAAATTCCTTTTGTTTTTTATTTAATTTCCATGGACTAATCCTACTTCAATCATTAATTTTTTAAATAGTATTATTATTTATCAAAAAACAAAACTTCTCCTAAACAAACTTGATTATTAATTTTTTAATGAAATTAAAACATAAAACCTAAAAAGAAGTTTGGTAATTTTAGCATTTAAAAAACTAAAATCATTTTATTGTGCTAAAAAATAAAAAAACTAAAACACCACTATATATAAATTTAATATTTTTTTAAGGATATTTAAATTATTTTACTATACATAAAAAAAAAATCTTTTTGTTC